CTGCTTTTGCTGTGTAAAACAAGTTGTTCTGATGCTAACTAGGTGCATTTACATGACAAAAGCAGTGAGGTCTGTATCAAAACAAGGTCAACTCTAGCCCCGCTGCCATACAAAGGCCAGGTCACTGAGCAGACAACTGTAAAATGGTCTATTGAACGAAATTCACGTGTCACGTATACTTTTAACTATAAATTAGTTCATAAATTCATAAATTACGTTTGTCTTTTATCTGTTAGTTACTTTGCTGTACCCAGGTCTTTTCGACACTTAACCAAGAGGCAAAGACCGGTTGCATCCGCGTTTTAATGAATAAATCTCGTTACGACAGCAAAAAGCATTAAAATTTGTTCTTCGATTCTATACATTTATTGCCATGATTGCGATGTACAAAATTGCTCGATTGCAGATAGTTTATAAATTGGAATACATTATAGCGCATACAAAGTCTCTGACTGAATCTCAATTGAAATTAAGTAACAAATTATATTAACTCTGCATAAATACATGTTCAAAATCCATCACAACAGTCGATTGTTAACCGTTGCTTAAGGTCTTGATTTTCACTGATTCATTCTTTTAATGTGTCCTTGTTTGATGGTAGAGAGCCCTATCTTCTTTGTACAAGATAAGAAGCCTACATGGCTCTCGCATGGCAAGAACAGTGCCAAGATGAGAGGAACCTGGGTTCTAACAATACCAAATTTGGTCAAAACCCAAATCAGGCTTTGTTGCTTGGCTTGTTGTTGCCAGTCTTCATCTTGAAAGAAATGTCTTAAGTTCAATTCTCTAAATGTTTATCATACATTTGATCGCCAGCATTACTACTTTTGCGTGTACAGCAATGCTGATTGCATCAAAATAATTGCTAAATTGATCAATACATTAAAAAGTGGTGAAGGTAGCTAGGTTGTGCAATAGACCAACAGATGACACCAAACGGACACGACGCTGGCCGATGTGGAGTTGCAAAGAAATCACAGAGAAAAAAAAAAGATATATATATATAACTCCAAGGCTCTATGACACGATGGAGGCATGGGAGTATCACACACACTAAAATGGATTTACCTTGGCCAAAAGTAAACTGTACTTACTAAATACCTCGAAAATTGTCGAACCAAGGGTTGTGTTGTGATGAAGTGCAGTCTGAAGTGAATTTGATTTTGCAGTCACTTGACATGTATAAACATACATTCATTGGATTTCAATGGCTTAACGCCGCATTACTCCTTTAAAACTTACCGACTTAGAAAGCAACCCTCACCCCTTTCTAGAATGATCAACCAATAATTTCTACATGTAAATCGGTTTGTNGGCTCTCGCATGGCAAGAACAGTGCCAAGATGAGAGGAACCTGGGTTCTAACAATACCAAATTTGGTCAAAACCCAAATCAGGCTTTGTTGCTTGGCTTGTTGTTGCCAGTCTTCATCTCATCAATTCTCTAAAGGTTTATCATACATTTGATCGCCAGCATTGCTACTTTGCGTGTACAGCAATGCTGATTGCATCAAAATAGTTGCTAAATTGATCAATACATTAAAAAAGGGTGAAGGTAGTTAGGTTGTGCAATAGACGAACAGATGACAACAAACGGACACGACGCTGACCGATGTGGAGTTGCAAAGAAATCACAGAGAAAAAAGTGAATTTGATTTTGCAGTCACTTGACATGTATAAACATACATTCATTAGATTTCAATGGCTTAACACCGCATTACTCCTTTAAAACTTACTGATTTAGAAAGCAACCCTCACCCCTTTCTAGAATGATCAACCAATAATTTCTACATGTAAATCGGTTTGTACACTATAACACTATAGCATCTCCCGGACCATTTTGCAGTAAAACCATAGGAAATTGACTACACATGTCAATTGTAATTTTGGGGTGGTATTCCTAAACAAGTTATATATATTTTTTAATGCACACAAATGTATAAAAAGCCAGCAGTCAACTCAATATTGAACGTTCATTTGAACATAGATTTGAAAATCAAAAATAGACTAATTTTTCATAGAAAAAAACGATAAATTCAGCTTGACAAAAATCATCTCCATTTCGAAATGACAATTAAGGTAGCCACCAAGAGCTGTAGAAGATTGGGTATTGTTAAAGCAGTAGCTATATTGTAACTACACTTTATATGCACGTTTTTCAGAGCAGGACACTTCTCTTTCTTCTTGAGACTTGTTTGGGTGTCAATGTGCGCGCATGTGCCGTTCACGATGCGGAATGCGCCTGCGTCGAAGACTCTGTTACTGATGTGGCAGTTGAAGTTGTAGAAATACGACTGTCGGTACTCATTCCAGTTCTCTATCACCAGCAGATAGAGATTGGTCTTGGGGAGAGCTGAGAGAAAGAAGTTCCCGGATCGACAAGGTCCATCCACTGAGTCAGCAATGATGCCATCGGGCCCTTAAAGGAAGGATTGAGGTCATCTTAATTCAACACTTTAACAGATTATCAAGTTTGATTTCACACAATACTGAAAACCAAACAGCAACACTTAAAAGGAAATGCACCAGATTTTTAATTTCGGCATCAATAGTCACACACTTGCTTTTCATCTACACAGATCCCCTTACATAAGCATAGTATAAAAGTACGCTATGGCAGTTTAGAAATTGTTCAAAAATATTTCCACACGGTTTGTCAATCGCTTTTTTAAGTTTGGTTGACACAAACTATTTTTGATGCCTAGGCGCTTTGAATCTACTAAGAACTACTAAGGACTACTTCTACTCCCCCTCACCCCGTTGAATAGGGTACCAGACCATCGCAGGTCACTCCCTTCCAGTATTTTGTAAGGTCGTCCTAGCAGATCCCCAGTGATCATTTACTACCCAAGGTGTGGAAAAGGTCGCTTGTTGATCATTTGTCTGCTTAGCACGCCCACAGAATTACATAAATCTTACCAAGGACCGAATCGTCCGAAGTGTACCCCACAACGTCTTGAATGCAGCCATACTCGTTCCTAAACGGCGGGATTGGTCCTCTGTTCTTGTAGTAATCATCTTCCTGCTCCGGGGTCTTCACGATACCTTCTAGTGTCACCTACAAGAACAATGTACGGCTCGTCACACAACACAACGATTGAAAACTGCTGTGCGTGACCCCAACCACTTCCATCTATCACTGTCGTCAAAAAAAGCTTCAAAGTTAGGAAATCATGGCAATCAAGGCAACGAGAACCTCGCTAAACTAGACTGCGACCAGTCTCTTTATTTTGCTAGAGTCAAACGCGAATACACGAATGTGAAGCAAAAGAATAACGATCGAGCGGCGAAGTTTGAGGGCGCCAAAAGAAGGAAAGGTTTAGAGACCATGACGGCTTTAAGAGCGCGTACAATGTTTTGGTACAAGTAACAACGTGTCTTAACTATTTCCTGCGCAAAACAGCAACGTGAAGTTATCAAATTCCCTGGTCAAAGTTGAACATGAACCAAGCACAACGGTGCAAAATGCTGAAATGTACCCAACGGAACCTTAACGACATAAATACAGTTGCCACGAAGGGTTTATAGCTTTGTAACTTCAAAGAGTATCTTGAGATCTGGTTCATGTTCTTCATAATACCACCCGCTGGATTTGTCGGTGGTCTCGTTATCAACTCCTCGACCGTTCTGATAAGTGTTGATTATCAACTTAAGGAAAACAAAAGGTTTAAAAACCATAACGGCTTTAGAAGTACGTAAAATGTTTTGATATGTAACAACGTGTCTTAACTATTTCCTGTGCAACAGAGCAACGTGAAGTCATCAAATTCCCTAGTCAAAGTTAAACATGAACCTAGCACAACGGCGTGATATGCTGAAATGTACCCAGCGGAACCTGAACGACACAAATACAGCTGCCACGAATAGTTTAAAGCTTTGTAACCTCAAAGAGTATCTTGAAATCTGGTTCATGTTCTTCATAATACCACCCGCTGGATTTGTCGGTGGTCTCGTTATCAACTCCTCGACCGTTCTGACAAGTGTTGATTATCAACTTACTTTCGGTGCATAGGGAGACACACTGCATATTCCCTGGAAATCAACCCGTTGATTCGGAACAAAGAACTTATGCTTTGTGATCAACAGTTTCATTATGTCGCCCTCTTTTCGTCCCAGGCTCACTCGTTCATATTCCCGCGCGTCTGTAGTGCTAACGCTGAGGAAGTCTGGGTCTGTGACCAAATTGGCCAAATTGTCCACTAAGTAGCATCTGAAAGGAAAATCAAAGTTAGTGCAAACTGTTCCAGATTTTCTACTGATAAGTCGGTATAAAATTTTCGTGAAAAAACACAAGGGTAAGGGACACTTGTACGACTTAAACTAAATATATAACGCAACATCTCGTTTGCAAGAAACCCGAGTAGCATCATGTTTCATGTTTGTTCATACTGTCACTCATTTTCTATCCTGGCCATCGTTACCAGTGATTCCCACTTCCTAACGGGTTCCTGTAATGTATTGAAAACTGTTTTTTGATAATTCAGAAAAGCCTTTTTTCTTTTAATCGAGAAATAGCGATACCTTGTTTGACACAGATGTTCGCCATCAGGGCACGTGTAATTCATTCCACAGGATTTGGCCTCCCCTGAGCTATTGAGAAGCCCGTATACCCGATGATGGAAGTCATTGTACAAGATATCTAGAGCTGTAACTGCCTCCACGCGATCCCCAGCACACAAGGAACGATTTCCAGCGTATACACGACATTTGCCTGAAATACACTGAGCGTGCCTGAAATAGTAAGACGAAAGAGAGAGGAACAGAACTCAATTCAGGTGCTAGTAGTCAGAACGGAGACAGTGATATATTCTTTTTTCACGAGGAAATAACATCTTACCCGCTTAGTAAATTTATTTTTATTGTTTCCAGTTTAAGTCGCTTCCCGAGTAAGTCGGTTGGGAAAGTTAACAATAAGGTTCAAATTCTTTTGAAGACCCGAAGGCGATTGCGTCTTTGAATAACTTCAATACACTAATGACACAACGCAACACAATGCGTGACACTCTGGGCGACTGTGTGACGAAGTTAGAGGCAGTGTCGAACATGACACATAATGACACACAGTATGACGTAAAGTGACGCAATGACATGTGTCACTAAGTAGCATGGCGATTATGTGACATAGTGTAACATATCTGTACTGTGACCAAGCGAGACCATGTTATGCAGAACAGTAAGGTATTAAACTTTTATACACGCCATACCTAGTACAAGGGCATCCTCCCAGAAGATTTTCCAGGCTTCCACAACTGATATTGGACGTGACTTTAGGAAGAGCCTGGAAAACAGCTTCTGAAATGGTGATCACTTTTCCAATTCCATTAGCATCCATGTATGCGTTCGACACTGCTGCTTTAGCTGGGTTCACAAGAGCACGATGATACCACGGACGCCTGAAAGGAAAAAATTAAAAAAACAACAACAACAACAAAGTATTAAAATGTCGAGATGATGTGCTCTACGGTTTCCACTCTACACGTTTTTGGCACTTTCATACAGATATCTAGATCCACTTTTTAGCTGGTAACCGCAAATCGCGGACAGTCAGATGACCAATGGTTTGTGGTGTTTTCAAGTGAGTCAGGATTTCTGTACATTTAATGTAACCTCACCTACAAAAGGTTCAGTTACACCAGGGCGCTCTAATGTACCTTCTTGCAACCTGGTTACACTTTGGAAACCTTTAGCTATTAATCAGTGCAAATGAACAAATACTTCGCTTTCGTTTTATGTCACCGTTTGCAAAACGAACGCTGCGATATAGTTGGTGCCGTAGTTTCGGTAATTCAATCTAAATGGACAAGCTACTCTTAAAAACGTCTTACAGTAAAAGCAAACCAACAAAAGATGTAAGAATAGCAAAGACATGCATTCAACTCTTGAGTGATTCTTACTTGGTTGGATCGAAGTTCCTTCGAGAGCGGTGGCCTGGGTAAGAGCGGAAGACGCCACTCCGTGTCCCTATGTACGTCCAGGGTACGTCCTTCAAAATCTCGCTCGAACGATTATTCTTCCAAATGTCCTCTATCAACGACGTGATCTCTACATCAGGTCTATAACAACAAAGCATCAGCAACTAAACATTATGCATCAGTCATTCCAATAACTTCTATTTGCCACCAAAACATGCGCGGATATTTGTCAGAGGTCTTTAACCTGCTGGACAAGCGAACAGTTTCTGAAAGAGAAGATCGAGGGAAACTGTGATCTTCGAGGAGCAGGCGATGATACCCAAGAACAAATCTCACTTGACAATAGACCAATTTCGATATATTAAAATTCAGCCTAACACAATAGACCTCAGAACGAGGCTCTGGGGAATAAACCCCACAAACTCTGTATTTATTCCCCAGAGCCTCGTGCTGAGGTCTGTTGTTTTAGGCTGAATTTCAATATATCGAAATTGGTCTATTTGAAAGCCAAATGGAGCTTACTGTGTTTCTTATCCTTGAAATATTTTACTACCAAGTCTCCAAATTTGTGCCCAAACGATCAAACAAGGAGTAACTCTCTTAAAGTGCAGAAATCGTGCTATCATGTTGAAATTTAACATTTTGTTTGAGGCAGCATCTGACCAAGTGAGTGAAAAAGGCAACTTTTGAAAACTGTGGGATTGCTTAGTGGCGTTACGTGACGAGCATAGACCAGTCGCACGCCAGAATGAATATTTAAGACAAATGGAATTTCATTATTAATTAGGTCACGATTTAAATAACCTTTTCAATAAGAAATCGCTATATGTGTGAACAACAGGGACCGACCATAGACATCGGAGGTTTCCGAAATTTCGGCGACATTTCCATTGTCGGCAAAATCTCGAAAAAATTCGTTTACAAAACAGTGGAACCCCACCTTAGGACCACCTCGTTATTACGGCCACTTTATTCTGCTCCAAACAAAAGCTCAGTCAATCATTTTCTTGGTAAAAGAACCTCATCAATACAGCCACCCCATTAATAGGGCTAGATTTTTGTGGTCGTTGGTGACCGGATTAACGGGGTTCCACTGTACTCTTACACAGAGGTGTGGGTAAGAGACTGTTTACCTGACAGAGGTCCGAAATCGCCCTTGAGGGCAACCAATATTATCGCCTTTTCCGTTCAGGAATCGATGCGCCTCAATCGTGATATCACTGTTGTTTTCTCGGAACAGAAAGGTGTTGGGATGGCAGTAGGTCTTCGGGCCCAGCATCACTGTGGAAGCGTTAAACGTCACGGGAAGATCGGGGTAAAAAGACAAATTGTACTGTACATTAAGGTCTGTATACAGGTCACCGAACACCTGGAGTGAGAGATAAAACAGTTATTGACCCCGTGAAAAGTGGTTAATAAAGCTTGAGATAACTACAGATTAAGCGGTCAGAGAATACGAACACTTATTGAATTGTGCAAAACGTTCAGAGAAAACTCCATTTTCACCTCCAAATAACTCATCTGTGTATTTTGTTTCTTACCCGCTTTACTTCAGAGGAGTTGTAAGACTCGATGTTAGCGTAGTAACTAGCAGGGATTTGCGATCCGGGTGGCGGCGATGCTGGTCTGCGGTAATTTTTATCCGAGTCTGCGAGGTTGAAAGCAAACACATACTCGGAGTCTTTGATTGACGTGTAGTAATAAGTGGAAGGTAGCGTGACAAGCATCACGCCATCCTGAAAATCTCCCTTTGGAATGCTCCTGATGGCTTCTTCGATCCTAAGAGAGCCTGTTTCGCCATCCATCATGGCCTTGGCGACCGAGTTGAACTTCACTGGTTTACCGTTGCGTTGTTCAAGGGTGCTTATTGGAATGAAGATTGGATCATCTACGAGCTGGTAGAAAAACACAACACAACCAGTCAGAATACAACATGCAACTCTAATATGAGTAGCTTTATAGACCACGAGGAGTCAGATCATGGAAGAAGAACAGTGAAGAAGGGACTGCCGCCAGGACATTTTACGCTCGCTTTTCGCTTCTCACCACGCTACTTTTTAGTTGGCTTGCGTCGTCAAAACTTTATCTAAATCGTCTTCAGAGACACTTCGAAAACGCAAAGAAGCGGCCACCATTTTGTTAACCACCGCACACTACTAAGCTACTAGCATACACTACTCACTATCTACAAGAGAATACATGATAAGTAGCGTAGCCAATAAGAGAACGGCATTTGTGATAGAACGCTTATAGTTACACTAATATTTTGTTAATCAGAGCTGCAAAAGTTAATCAATATCATTATTCTTCCCACTGTTTATCTCACATCGCGTATAATATCTTCGGCAGACTTTCCCTTCAAATCGACAAGTTCTCCGAAATAATCAAATAATCATTTATTTTCCTCAATTTTCAAACCTTACTACTTGCCCGAATATGTGATAAGATCAGGAATATATCACTAGTGTAATGTAACACGTAGCGAAGAATCAAACTTCGCCTGAGTGACGACGTCTACATATTTCATTAAACGGCGTCTGCCATGCTCGTGGAACAAGAGCAACAGGACAAGTCTCAACGCATGCTAAGGAAAAGAACCCACGTGTAAATGGACGACACCACCATGCCACGCTGTTCAAAGTTTAAGTTTTCCATCTTTCGTTTTCCTTTTTCCCAAAAGAGGTCTTTTGTGAGCGTGGTTTGACTGAAACGGTGACTGTCTTGACATCATAGGAATTTTTACTATTTTTTTTTGATAGAATGGCGTTCGAGAGGTCGTTTGTTGGCAGTGACCACAGGGTCATTTTCTTTACGATCTCCGTCCGTCCCCTGACCTCGCCACAGGCAAATATGAGTCAATAGACACGCGCTACCAACATCCAGAATCAGGTGAACACGGAGGTTTAACAACGGTTGACAAACGGTAATGTCACCTGATGATAGTTGTTAATCAATTTACATGAGTAAGATATTTCTCCACTTGGCTTATCCAACATACAACATCTTCCGTATCTTTCAAGAAATTTCAAAGCGGGTTTTTTGTGGGTTATGTGATAACTGAATCCTGCATCAACTGAAATATCTCTCGTTCTCTTGCACAAGACATGGAACTAACTTCCATATCATATTCCACATCATATCCTGTAGCCAAAAATAATCCATTGCGGAGATACGCTTATTAAATAAGCGCCTAGTATGGCGTCTTTAAGAAAGTTGGGATGATTAGAAAACAGGGTTGACCTAATTTGAAGACCGGGAAATTTGTCACCTCAAGCGAGCCCATAATTGATTTGTAACTTCAACAATTTTTCTCAGGTAAGAAACACTATCAAACCGGACACTGCACGTTTCAAAATTTCCTCGCTGTTAATTCTCCCTCACTCTGAACAAAAACTACTTTTTAAATCCTTAGGTATCTATTCCCATCATGCGATTCATAGGTTTCAAATTCCTCAAACCAAAACTGAGGCAAGGCTTGATGTTAAATGTGCGTTGCATGCTTGGCGGGGTAACGGAAGTATATATTTCGCGGGAAACAATGACGCTAATAACTCCAAAAATAAAAATACAAACAGTCAAAAACAAAAAAGACAGGTTGAAAGGCTTGATAAATTACTTCCTTTGCCAGTGTCACTACGGTAGATAGATGCCATCTCTAACTTCAGTTTGTCAGTGGATGAAACTGAAATGGAGGCTGTTGAGCAGCTCTTTCATATGGTTCTTTTTGTTTCCATTACGTTGCAGAATGATATTTCGCTGGGATGTTTTTTTCAATTTGTAGACTCGGCAGTCGATAGAGAAGGAACAAACATAAGCTCAAAATACGGGGATATGTATACAATTGCTCTTGTTTGTTTTGATACAGGCAGCTGTGTGCATTCTAATAAGCACAAAATGAATTTGTTTTGAGCACGTCAATTGAGATCTCACCTCTTCCACAAAAGCTACTTAAACCGCACAAGGCAAAGCGTTGGAGATTTCAAAGCAGCGTCAAAATATAATTGATGAATAGCGAATTGCTTTTACGCCTTTAAATTAATCATTCAAAACAACGTGGAAAAAACTATGAAAGGAAATTGAATAGAAATTCATTAACTCGTAAACATAGCNGTGAGACGCTGTCAGTTTTCTTAAAGTCAAAAAGCGGAAACTCTTTTCGTTTGGAATCGTCCCGGCGTAATACAATTCTCAGTCGATATTCCACGCAAAATCTTTTATCATCGCTTTGGTCACCATCGATAGAATTGTTTCAATATCGAAAGCTAAAAGCTAATGAACATAATTGATATTTTTCTGCAGCCTTGCACGTTCTGGATATCTTTTCAAAGGCAGTCAATTCCGGAGCCAGACATAAATGAGTCATTTACGATTTTTTTTAAACATTATTACAGATTAACTAACACGTTTTGAGGCTTTCAAGTGTAAGGTTAACTGAAACGCAAGTTATTTCCTGAGAGGCTTGACACTTTACACCTGTGGAAGTCTCTCTAATGGCAAACACCTTGCACGCATTAAATTAGTTTTCTAAAACAAAAAACATCAAGGACCTTAAAAAAAAAAAGAAAGAAACGGAAACAGAAAAACTGGAACAGAGAAACATCCATTACAGTTAACAACACAAAAATTGCGCGCAATTCGCACCAAAGTTAAATTTCTAGCGGTTTAAGACAATTGAATGTTTGAAACTTGAGCAACCATGTTAACCGTGAGACGCTGTCAGTTTTCTTAAAGTCAAAAAGCGGAAACTCTTTTCGTTTGGAATCGTCCCGGCGTAATACAATTCTCAGTCGATATTCCACGCAAAATCTTTTATCATCGCTTTGGTCACCATCGATAGAATTGTTTCAATATCGAAAGCTAAAAGCTAATGAACATAATTGATATTTTTCTGCAGCCTTGCACGTTCTGGATATCTTTTCAAAGGCAGTCAATTCCGGAGCCAGACATAAATGAGTCATTTACGATTTTTTTTAAACATTATTACAGATTAACTAACACGTTTTGAGGCTTTCAAGTGTAAGGTTAACTGAAACGCAAGTTATTTCCTGAGAGGCTTGACACTTTACACCTGTGGAAGTCTCTCTAATGGCAAACACCTTGCACGCATTAAATTAGTTTTCTAAAACAAAAAACATCAAGGACCTTAAAAAAAAAAAGAAAGAAACGGAAACAGAAAAACTGGAACAGAGAAACATCCATTACAGTTAACAACACAAAAATTGCGCGCAATTCGCACCAAAGTTAAATTTCTAGCGGTTTAAGACAATTGAATGTTTGAAACTTGAGCAACCATGTTAACCGTGAGACGCTGTCAGTTTTCTTAAAGTCAAAAAGCGGAAACTCTTTTCGTTTGGAATCGTCCCGGCGTAATACAATTCTCAGTCGATATTCCACGCAAAATCTTTTATCATCGCTTTGGTCACCATCGATAGAATTGTTTCAATATCGAAAGCTAAAAGCTAATGAACATAATTGATATTTTTCTGCAGCCTTGCACGTTCTGGATATCTTTTCAAAGGCAGTCAATTCCGGAGCCAGACATAAATGAGTCATTTACGATTTTTTTTAAACATTATTACAGATTAACTAACACGTTTTGAGGCTTTCAAGTGTAAGGTTAACTGAAACGCAAGTTATTTCCTGAGAGGCTTGACACTTTACACCTGTGGAAGTCTCTCTAATGGCAAACACCTTGCACGCATTAAATTAGTTTTCTAAAACAAAAAACATCAAGGACCTTAAAAAAAAAAAGAAAGAAACGGAAACAGAAAAACTGGAACAGAGAAACATCCATTACAGTTAACAACACAAAAATTGCGCGCAATTCGCACCAAAGTTAAATTTCTAGCGGTTTAAGACAATTGAATGTTTGAAACTTGAGCAACCATGTTAACCGTGAGACGCTGTCAGTTTTCTTAAAGTCAAAAAGCGGAAACTCTTTTCGTTTGGAATCGTCCCGGCGTAATACAATTCTCAGTCGATATTCCACGCAAAATCTTTTATCATCGCTTTGGTCACCATCGATAGAATTGTTTCAATATCGAAAGCTAAAAGCTAATGAACATAATTGATATTTTTCTGCAGCCTTGCACGTTCTGGATATCTTTTCAAAGGCAGTCAATTCCGGAGCCAGACATAAATGAGTCATTTACGATTTTTTTTAAACATTATTACAGATTAACTAACACGTTTTGAGGCTTTCAAGTGTAAGGTTAACTGAAACGCAAGTTATTTCCTGAGAGGCTTGACACTTTACACCTGTGGAAGTCTCTCTAATGGCAAACACCTTGCACGCATTAAATTAGTTTTCTAAAACAAAAAACATCAAGGACCTTAAAAAAAAAAAGAAAGAAACGGAAACAGAAAAACTGGAACAGAGAAACATCCATTACAGTTAACAACACAAAAATTGCGCGCAATTCGCACCAAAGTTAAATTTCTAGCGGTTTAAGACAATTGAATGTTTGAAACTTGAGCAACCATGTTAACCGTGAGACGCTGTCAGTTTTCTTAAAGTCAAAAAGCGGAAACTCTTTTCGTTTGGAATCGTCCCGGCGTAATACAATTCTCAGTCGATATTCCACGCAAAATCTTTTATCATCGCTTTGGTCACCATCGATAGAATTGTTTCAATATCGAAAGCTAAAAGCTAATGAACATAATTGATATTTTTCTGCAGCCTTGCACGTTCTGGATATCTTTTCAAAGGCAGTCAATTCCGGAGCCAGACATAAATGAGTCATTTACGATTTTTTTTAAACATTATTACAGATTAACTAACACGTTTTGAGGCTTTCAAGTGTAAGGTTAACTGAAACGCAAGTTATTTCCTGAGAGGCTTGACACTTTACACCTGTGGAAGTCTCTCTAATGGCAAACACCTTGCACGCATTAAATTAGTTTTCTAAAACAAAAAACATCAAGGACCTTAAAAAAAAAAAGAAAGAAACGGAAACAGAAAAACTGGAACAGAGAAACATCCATTACAGTTAACAACACAAAAATTGCGCGCAATTCGCACCAAAGTTAAATTTCTAGCGGTTTAAGACAATTGAATGTTTGAAACTTGAGCAACCATGTTAACCGTGAGACGCTGTCAGTTTTCTTAAAGTCAAAAAGCGGAAACTCTTTTCGTTTGGAATCGTCCCGGCGTAATACAATTCTCAGTCGATATTCCACGCAAAATCTTTTATCATCGCTTTGGTCACCATCGATAGAATTGTTTCAATATCGAAAGCTAAAAGCTAATGAACATAATTGATATTTTTCTGCAGCCTTGCACGTTCTGGATATCTTTTCAAAGGCAGTCAATTCCGGAGCCAGACATAAATGAGTCATTTACGATTTTTTTTAAACATTATTACAGATTAACTAACACGTTTTGAGGCTTTCAAGTGTAAGGTTAACTGAAACGCAAGTTATTTCCTGAGAGGCTTGACACTTTACACCTGTGGAAGTCTCTCTAATGGCAAACACCTTGCACGCATTAAATTAGTTTTCTAAAACAAAAAACATCAAGGACCTTAAAAAAAAAAAGAAAGAAACGGAAACAGAAAAACTGGAACAGAGAAACATCCATTACAGTTAACAACACAAAAATTGCGCGCAATTCGCACCAAAGTTAAATTTCTAGCGGTTTAAGACAATTGAATGTTTGAAACTTGAGCAACCATGTTAACCGTGAGACGCTGTCAGTTTTCTTAAAGTCAAAAAGCGGAAACTCTTTTCGTTTGGAATCGTCCCGGCGTAATACAATTCTCAGTCGATATTCCACGCAAAATCTTTTATCATCGCTTTGGTCACCATCGATAGAATTGTTTCAATATCGAAAGCTAAAAGCTAATGAACATAATTGATATTTTTCTGCAGCCTTGCACGTTCTGGATATCTTTTCAAAGGCAGTCAATTCCGGAGCCAGACATAAATGAGTCATTTACGATTTTTTTTAAACATTATTACAGATTAACTAACACGTTTTGAGGCTTTCAAGTGTAAGGTTAACTGAAACGCAAGTTATTTCCTGAGAGGCTTGACACTTTACACCTGTGGAAGTCTCTCTAATGGCAAACACCTTGCACGCATTAAATTAGTTTTCTAAAACAAAAAACATCAAGGACCTTAAAAAAAAAAAGAAAGAAACGGAAACAGAAAAACTGGAACAGAGAAACATCCATTACAGTTAACAACACAAAAATTGCGCGCAATTCGCACCAAAGTTAAATTTCTAGCGGTTTAAGACAATTGAATGTTTGAAACTTGAGCAACCATGTTAACCGTGAGACGCTGTCAGTTTTCTTAAAGTCAAAAAGCGGAAACTCTTTTCGTTTGGAATCGTCCCGGCGTAATACAATTCTCAGTCGATATTCCACGCAAAATCTTTTATCATCGCTTTGGTCACCATCGATAGAATTGTTTCAATATCGAAAGCTAAAAGCTAATGAACATAATTGATATTTTTCTGCAGCCTTGCACGTTCTGGATATCTTTTCAAAGGCAGTCAATTCCGGAGCCAGACATAAATGAGTCATTTACGATTTTTTTTAAACATTATTACAGATTAACTAACACGTTTTGAGGCTTTCAAGTGTAAGGTTAACTGAAACGCAAGTTATTTCCTGAGAGGCTTGACACTTTACACCTGTGGAAGTCTCTCTAATGGCAAACACCTTGCACGCATTAAATTAGTTTTCTAAAACAAAAAACATCAAGGACCTTAAAAAAAAAAAGAAAGAAACGGAAACAGAAAAACTGGAACAGAGAAACATCCATTACAGTTAACAACACAAAAATTGCGCGCAATTCGCACCAAAGTTAAATTTCTAGCGGTTTAAGACAATTGAATGTTTGAAACTTGAGCAACCATGTTAACCGTGAGACGCTGTCAGTTTTCTTAAAGTCAAAAAGCGGAAACTCTTTTCGTTTGGAATCGTCCCGGCGTAATACAATTCTCAGTCGATATTCCACGCAAAATCTTTTATCATCGCTTTGGTCACCATCGATAGAATTGTTTCAATATCGAAAGCTAAAAGCTAATGAACATAATTGATATTTTTCTGCAGCCTTGCACGTTCTGGATATCTTTTCAAAGGCAGTCAATTCCGGAGCCAGACATAAATGAGTCATTTACGATTTTTTTTAAACATTATTACAGATTAACTAACACGTTTTGAGGCTTTCAAGTGTAAGGTTAACTGAAACGCAAGTTATTTCCTGAGAGGCTTGACACTTTACACCTGTGGAAGTCTCTCTAATGGCAAACACCTTGCACGCATTAAATTAGTTTTCTAAAACAAAAAACATCAAGGACCTTAAAAAAAAAAAGAAAGAAACGGAAACAGAAAAACTGGAACAGAGAAACATCCATTACAGTTAACAACACAAAAATTGCGCGCAATTCGCACCAAAGTTAAATTTCTAGCGGTTTAAGACAATTGAATGTTTGAAACTTGAGCAACCATGTTAACCGTGAGACGCTGTCAGTTTTCTTAAAGTCAAAAAGCGGAAACTCTTTTCGTTTGGAATCGTCCCGGCGTAATACAATTCTCAGTCGATATTCCACGCAAAATCTTTTATCATCGCTTTGGTCACCATCGATAGAATTGTTTCAATATCGAAAGCTAAAAGCTAATGAACATAATTGATATTTTTCTGCAGCCTTGCACGTTCTGGATATCTTTTCAAAGGCAGTCAATTCCGGAGCCAGACATAAATGAGTCATTTACGATTTTTTTTAAACATTATTACAGATTAACTAACACGTTTTGAGGCTTTCAAGTGTAAGGTTAACTGAAACGCAAGTTATTTCCTGAGAGGCTTGACACTTTACACCTGTGGAAGTCTCTCTAATGGCAAACACCTTGCACGCATTAAATTAGTTTTCTAAAACAAAAAACATCAAGGACCTTAAAAAAAAAAAGAAAGAAACGGAAACAGAAAAACTGGAACAGAGAAACATCCATTACAGTTAACAACACAAAAATTGCGCGCAATTCGCACCAAAGTTAAATTTCTAGCGGTTTAAGACAATTGAATGTTTGAAACTTGAGCAACCATGTTAACCGTGAGACGCTGTCAGTTTTCGCGTAAGATGGTGTGAAAGAAAAAAAAGCTGCAGACTCATCGACATACGTCTACTTTGTTTGAGAACGTGTCCATGAGAAAACCACGCAGAACCAGGCAGGAGGCGATACAGCTCAAATCACCGATTTCCCTCAAACTTGGCGCAAATGTTAACTCTGGTGAGTGAATGGTTATGGCAAAGTAAAAGGTCAAAATGTTTTATTCCCTCCAAGTTAGGGGGACCCCGGCAAAAATGGTTATTTGACACCTATTTCTGCTTATTTATTAACTGTCGTTGCTTAAGTGTTTCTACGACAACAAGAGCCATATGAAGTAAGGTGCATATCAGCAACTGCAATTACAAATCGTTTTAACGTGGATAGCGAGAGCCATAGTAGGGGGGACAAATTCCCCTCTACTAACTACTTCCTCTACTTCCTTTTTCCGAATCTTGAAAAAAATTTTGGAGAAGATTTTAAGAAAATGCTTAGCTAGATATTTCTTGGTGAATTCGAGTTATGTTACGGCAGCAAAACGGCTTTTTTGTGTTTCGGTGATCGAATGTTCATGAAATGGCCAAATACCGTAAACAGTACGCCAGCACAGAAACAACATTCAACTCCCCAAACATTTTATGGCGTTTTTGATACCATTAGTAATAGTTCTCACTATCCACGTTAGAATGATGTGTATTTGCTGTCGCTGACTGCGGATATTTGCCATATGAAATGGGTATAAGGGTTTAAGCGTATAAGGGTATAAGGGTTTAAGGGCATAAGGGTATGAAGGTTTAAGGGTACAAGGGTATGAGGGTATAAGGGGTATAAGGGGTATAAGGATATAAGGGTGTAAGGGTATAAGGGGTATAAGGAATATAAGTTTATAGGGGGTATAAGGGTTTAAAGGTATAAGGGGTACAAGGGGTAAAAGGGTTTAGGGTATAAGGGGTATAAGGGATAAGGGTATAAGGAGTATAAGGGGTATAAGGGGTATAAGAGTATAAAGGGTATAAGGGTATAAGGGGTATAAGGGGGTATAAGGGGTATAAGGGGTATAAGGGTATAAGGGTATAAGGGGTATAAGGGGTATAAGGGGTATAAGGGTATAAGG